TCGGTGTTAGGAATTCAAATGGACTGGTGTCAGGAATTCAAATGGACTGGTGTCAGGAATTCAAATGGACCGGTGTCAGGAATTCATATGGACTGGTGTCAGGAATTCAAATGGATTGGTGTCAGGAATTCAAATGGACTGGTGTCAGGAATTCATATGGACTGGTGTCAGGAATTCAAATGGACTGGTGTCAGGAATTCAAATGGACTGGTGTCAGGAATTCAAATGGACTGGTGTCAGAAATTCAAATGGACTGGTGTCAGGAATTCAAATGGACTGGTGTCAGGAATTCAAATGGACTACTGTCAGAAGTTCAAATGGACTGGTGTCAGAAATTCAAATGGACTGGTGTCAGGAATTCAAATGGACTGGTGTCAGGAATTCAAATGGACTGGTGTCAGGAATTCAAATGGACTGATGTCAGGAATTAAATTACTTACCAACAGTGTGAGCATATGTATCTGCCATCCAACTCATCTCTCTCTCACCCGTACCCATATCTGGTGCAGGAACATCCACACCAGGACCTGGATAAGTATATATACAAATAAAAGTCTGGTACAATCCAGATTTCATTATGCTGAAGTTTTTGTTTATTGAGAAATGTTCTATTTCTCCAAATATTTAGATGAAAACAAAGTATATATAAAACATTCATTTTCATTTTACTGATGGATAATTTCACACTTTGCAAAAAAGGCAAGGTACCAATCACCTGACCAATATATACACAATTAAATGTTTAGATTGGGGACACAATAACTCCATTAATATTTAGCCGAGGCAAGGTAACTCGTATACACGGTTAATCTGTATAGTTAATCTTCCAAAAGTTTAGAGTTGTTGTTTTTAAGTGTCTATTGGAGTACTTGATAATGTAGTGGTTAAGACCTTCGCTTTGCAAGAGGAAGATCACAAGTTCAAATCCCATGCTAGAAACTTAATTTTTTTTACTCCTTTGAAATGTTTTTTTTTTCCTTTTTTCAGCATTTTCTTTGATTTTCCTATTTTAATGAAGAGCACCCTTTAGCTTTTTGTTCAATTACATCAGTGTTTTAATAGTTTCATCTACTAGAACTGTTCGCTGACCATGGTCATGGTGGTATTAATTAGGGCTAAACCATGCAGCAAAATAAGGGGGGAAACATTTGTTTCTACATTCTAATTAGTTGATTTTTATTCAATCTACCGATATATATATTTATATATATTCGTAGCTCATTTGTATTTTTAGATAGACCCCATCCTATGTTGTGATCTGCCCACCGTTACATATACAGGCCAAGCCATGTATAGTTTAAAGTACGTTTGTCGTTGCGCAGCGCGTGTTTAAATTTCATGTTAATAAACAATGTATTTCACACATGTTATATACATCGCTATGAGTCCCATATCGAACATAACGCGTCACGACGACTGTCGCTCTTTAACTATGTTATTGTGAATGAATGCTTTAGAACACTTTCTCATATATTTCATACAGATGCCATTTTTCTAGAATACGACTTGACCTAGTTTATTGACCTAAAGGTCAAGAATGTTTTTTTTCAGAATGCCACATATCTTCGAAGTATTGATATTCAAAAATAAATTTTGTTAATATCGAAGTACAATTTGTTGGCATTTATTTTGCTGCACAACGTTTTTGAAAGAGGTGATTATAGTTTTGATTTTATACTTGCAATTGTCAGATGGTAAAAATGTTTATTTTCATTTTAAATTCCTTCAATTAAAACTAAAACCTAAATCTTAATTGGTTGAAAGAAAAAAAAATTATGTACAAGTTTCTAACTTACTTACCAATGAAGTTCTTTTTAGCCAATTCTAAGGTAAATCTTCGAGTAATTCTTTCAAGCTCAAAGTCTGAATACTTGCGAGGATCAATCTTGACACCAGCTTTAGCACCACCAAATGGAACATCAACAACCGCACATTTATATGTCATCAATGCAGCTAAAGCTTGTACTTCATCAGCATTAACATCCATGCTATAACGCATTCCTGCAAATTCAACATTTGTTCAGATTTAACAATGAAATTGTGGTGCAACATTTTCTCTATTTTTATGTTTTGTTTTGTTTAAATTTTGGGCCTAATGAACATAATTTCTTATTAACATTTTGAAAATATTATGAAACAAGCAGCCTATCGGCAGAGATAGCTCCGCTGTTAGCAATGCACATTACAATTAAAGAACTGAAGATATCATTAGAAAATGAACAATATGTATTGTATCAAAGCAATCGAACTTGCTGTTTTCAACAAAAATTCGAAAATATAACTTTTTATCAAAAATATTCATCAAAATTAAATAATTGAAGACTGAAATCATCACGAAATCTGAGAGAGGTCTACCTGAGGTACCTATATGTAATCATCAAAATTAGAGAATTAAAGATATCATCACGAAATGAACAAATCTGAGAGGTCCACATGTAGTACCTAGATATGTAATATCAAAGCAATCAGACTTGGGGTTTACAACAAGAAGTCGAAAATATCATTTTTTACCAAAAAAATTCATCAAAATTATAGAATTGAAGATATCATCACAAAATGAACAAATCTGAGAGAAGGACTTGTGGTTTCCAACAAGTACGAGAACAAGAAGTCGAAAATATCACTTTTTACCAAAAATAACAAAAATATTCACCAAAAATAGAGAATTTGAGATTTTGACATAAAATGAACAAATCTGAGAAAAAACTATCCAAGGTACTTGCATATCAAATTTGAAAACATTCTGACTTGCAGTTATGAAGAAGAAGTTGAAATTGTCAAGTTGACGACGAACGGCGCCGCCCGAAGACGACGATGGACAATCAGTAATATGAACAACTCCGCTTTGTCGTGTCGGCAGCGGAGCTAAAAATTAATTTGGGTTTAAAATTTGTGAATGGTGATATAAGTTTACTTTGACGCTAAAAAGGTCAAAGGTTAAAGGTCATATCAAAATAGATGAGTCAGCAGATACGTGTTGTAGTTGTACAATAATTTATTCATACTGTAAACCAATCAAGACACAGCCATGAGACTTGGCAGTTAAAGAACAATATAACTTGGACTTAGAGGGCAGCATTCATTAATCTCATGCTGGTACTTATCTTCCGCTACTTTAATTCTATGTATGGGGGAACCAGAATTGTAATTGCATATTATAGAGTATGACATTGATGGTAGTGTGTGCAGTCGCTGGGCTAGCATGGCTTGTTGGCTTGTGTATATATCTGGTAGCGTCGCGTAAGGTTTTATTGACAAACCTCATTGGCGGTGCTGAACGTCACTGACACAAAACGTAAATTGCGATTGTCCTCACTGATGCATTGGGTGTGGAATACGAGAAAAGGGACTGAAGCATGTGCACTGCATACACAATAAGGTTATGACATAGACATATCTCATGAATATTATTTGAAACTGCAATTATTAATAGAAAACATTTATAACGCCAGAATCACGTATATTTGGTCTTGACCCCCACTCTATCTATTGTGGTAGTTTGAAAACTGTACACGCTATGCTTTCTATCATACTAAACTGGTCACCAAATTTAACAACTGTTTCTGGCCTTTACACAAGTCTGAATGAGCAGAGGCAAGCCTCAATAGGTCTTGATTGTAAACAGCGCCACCTCTGGCTGTTCCCGGCTACATGCATCTAGGTTTGTACTTCAAAAAATGTTGTTAAAATTATGCAAATGTATGCAAATCATGCCCAAAATATACAATTCTCATACCTGCTTCAAACTGTTGAGATAAGTGTGCAAATATATGCAAAATATATAAATTTATGCAAATCATGCCAAAATATGCAACTTCTACATCTGCTTCAGATTGATGCTATGAATGTAAAGCAACATGCATGATGAATAGAATCTACTCACCTCCTTTACAGGGTGTACAGTGCTGACTGTGTTCGGCACGGTAACCTTCAATCATCTCCCAATCACCATTGTCTCGTCTCAAAGGAAACACCACACTCAGGACATGGTTACATGGCTTGATAAGAGCTGTAAACAAAATCACCAGATAGTAAACTGGGTTTCATGAAAGTGTGAATTTGCCTTAATTTATGAAATTTATGACTATTTAAAAAAACATTTATTCAAAACACTTCAAAGTACAGTGGTCTGTTTGCTGAACAGAACGTTAGATTACAAAAGCGAGCCTTTATCAGTGTAGAGGTTAACTGACCACAGAGGAGTACTATACAGGAATTATTCATTCGCGAAGGCTTGTTATTGTTAAGTCATTTGAAATTTATAAACATTTACAAATATTTTGAATAAAAAAAATTCACATCATGAAACACAGTAAACCTCAGAATATAGTAAATATGATAAATAGTACAAGCCCTACATTTAGAGGAGCAAATATTTGTCAAGTGATAAAAATGTTATCACCTGATATCATTGATTTGTATCTAGGTTGATTTCAGGTTGTATTATTCAAGCAAGGTCAATGGTAGACAATGACAATGCTATAAACAAGTGATATCAGCTGGGTATAATACAGCTTTAAGCATGGATCAAGAGACTATAATAATAATAAGTATTTGGCCAATTGCATACTTTTTTTTCTGAGGGCTTGATTGAATATTATCTATTTTCCCAATAAAGAAGGGGTGAACTTCTGTTGAGAGCATTTATTTTATTTTATTTTATTTTATTTTACTTTTGAGCTTGTGGATTTTTTTTTCAGCCTATATTCATTTTTTTTAATAATCCAGCCTCACCCCAAATTCAAATGGGTCATCCCTAGCACACAAACATAATCAAATTATTAAAAATATAGTTCTGAGATTGAATTTAAGAATGTGCCCACCAATATTGACTGTAAAAAATATAGGATGGAAGAATATATATCATTTAGTGTTTAGAATATAAATCAATTATTGTTCAAACTTTTATTCAAATCACCACCAGACTCTTTTCTTATATTTTTCAATATTTCTGGAAATGAACCCTAATTTTAGAGGCAACAGACAAAATTTTAGTCAATTTTCATTTTTGTCCCAATCTTCTGAAGGAAAGTGCACACTATAAACGGGACTATTTTTTGATGAACAGAGGGAACTGGTTGTGACAGGGTCAAAAAACTCTTACCCAGAATTCCTTTGACCCTGTTTACTTTATCTTCTTTTGGAATCCTTCCTGGGTATGCATCTACTAATCTATCTGTTATTATGGCAGCTCCTTTATCATAATATTCCTGCACCATCTCATAAAAATTAGGATCATCATCTGAAATAAAATATAATTTAGCAATATGAAATTAAAAATGCATATAATTAATATTCACAAATAGTTCTCATTTATAGGTCTACATCTCAGGGTGATTGCATATTGGCTTCAACAATTATGAAATTAAATATGCACATAATTAATATTCACAAATAGTTCTCATTTATAGGTCTACATCTCAGGGTGATTGAATATTGGCTTCACCAATTATGAAATTAAATATGCACATAATTAATATTCACAAATAGTTCTCATTTATAGGTCTACATCTCAGGGTGATTGCAAAATATT